CAGTAAATCCGAGAGTTCTGTAAAATGAGATGGAGGTGAAATGAGGGTCCTGATACGTACCAACCCCGTTATATCCCAGTAATCCCAGAGTTTTGTAAAATGAAACGAAATAAACTGAAATAAAGCCTTGAACAGGACAAATAGAAACTAGAAATAACAAACAGACCTCGTCCATCCACATTTCAGAGAACTTACCGAATTTTATCCACTCGTCCCTCTTTGACCCGATTGAGAAAGGATCAAGTTGCGATTATTCGGGATTTGCTTTCAGTCCGGCAATCGATTGGAGAATAAGGTATGGTGTTTCATGTCTACCGTAATGATGTGTAATTTCACACAACAGAACACGTGTAGCATAAAGTTGCGACGTGTAAAGTTACGCAATGCATTACGCATAGCATAAAGTTGCAGCGTGCAAAGTTATGCAGCGTAACACGCGATAAAGTTGCAGCGTGTAATATTATGCAGCACGGGCTTGCGTTACTTACTGGATTACTTTTTTATGTGACTCGGATGCGTGATAGGTTTGCTTTCGTATGTTTGACTGATACTGGACGTATATCTCACCACAAAACTTTTCACCTCGATGAATCTCATCGTAGAGATTTCTTCAAGAGATAGGATGAACTTTCTCCAGTTGATATTCTAGCATTAACCTCTGCACGTTTTTTTCGCAATTCATATTAAACAACTCTCATTATTATTACCTGCCGTTCAGAACGATGACTTCGTCACTGTTAGACCGAGATTTCTCACCACCGAGCTCGTTTAAAGATGGAGGAACGGGTGATCGATGGCGTATAAAAAATGAAAATTCGGGTAGTGAACGTTGGAGATCGAGTAATGATGCGGAAACTGGTGGTATTGGTAATGATGGTGGTCCTGTTGGAGGCGGCATTGGTGGTGGAAGTGGTGCTAGTGGTAGTGAACGTTGGTTACGACGGGAAAATGCTACTGATCGAATGATAGGTGGTCAACGTCGTGGTAGCAGTCGTGAACGTAGCCCACGAAGACTTCGAGATAGAGGTTGGTTTGTGAAATTATATGAGATTATGGATTAAATTTGAGGAAAATTTGAGGATGTAATGTTAGAGTACAAATATCCCCCTCACTTTGATTGACCTTTGAAATCATAATTCTTGCAATTACTTAATTACTGAGAAGCATTTGAAATACGACAAAACATTTCGAGAATTTTCTTGCCACGAGATTTTCACAATGTTACTCTACCGTTAAGTAGCAATCATCATATAGAGTGCGTGCCATATGATTTGCATGCGTTGCACACATGATTAGTTGATTTGGTTTACATTCGGATCACCGTCTTATCTTTCGTATGATCATAATGGCGCAGAATATTACGTGGTTTCTCGTTGTTTCATTTTCGGCATTTGTTGTTTTCCAATCGGCAATATCAAAAGCAAATTTTAAAATTTATTTAGTTGTTTAGAAAAGTATCATAACTTCGGTTGGTTTTTTTCTTTTTTTTCCGGAACAAATCATTATGGTCAAATGTTTGGGAATACATTGATGTAGATCTTTGATCCAGAAGTCCTTTTTTGTCCTCGTAAGTCACTGATTGCTTCATCTAATTTGTGGATAGTTGCTTTTTCATAGAAATCTTCACTGAAATCTTCGGCCACGCTTTTTTTTAAGACTGTTTCATCTGTACATTTGTGAAACAGTCACGTTGGACATTTTCTGGCATAAATTTAGATGGTCGTCGAGGCGGCGCTGGTGGTGTACGTAATGACCGAATGGTTTACATTGCAAATATTCCATATGACGTACGTTGGATGGAATTAAAAGATTTGGTTCGAGAAAAAGCTGGTGAGGTATGATGTGTTTTCTAGTTGGCTTTGACTTTTGTAGGTTTTCGCATTATTTACGGCTGTTTCCAGAGGTACTATTCTAATTATGACTACGTACGTACATGCAGCTGGTAACACGCATGATTTGAAAATATGGCAAAGTTGCATTCAACGGCTGTTGTCGATTTTCCCTTACTCCTATGTTTAGTCAATCGCATCAGAACGTTGTGAAAGTGAAATTGAAAAAAGAGAAACCTTTATTTGGTTTTTGTTTAGTTTCGAATTTACTTGAATGTCGGTTTTCTTATTCCGTTGAATGATATCATCCGGTTGGATTTGCTGTTTTTCTTATAACAATAATTAAATTGTTCTTTCTTGAAATATCGAGCGGTTGGACTGAATATCTCCTGTTAAATAACAGGATAGTCCAATCATTCAGTCAGTGTAACACGTTTCACTCATTCATGACGTGACTGTACTAGACATGTCGCACATGCGATCCCTCGAGTTGTTCTTGAATCAACCATCAGGATTTAATTCACACGTGTGAGATTGGTTGTTGATGGTTCTGGCGATCGGCTTCTTTGAATGATTCAAAAAAATTTGCTCATTGCATTCATTATTATGATGCTAACCATTGATTGAATTACCGCACATTATAAAACGCCCAAATCATATTTAATAAAACACAAGTAAAGTTAAGGCAGTAAAATAAGGAAAAGATTCTTATCCTTGAAATAGTTAAAATTCCTTCTTTGGTTATTTAGGTTAATTTTGTGGAGCTTCTGGAAGACCGTAAGGGAAAGTCGAAAGGTGCAGCAGTTGTTGAGTTTCGAGAAAAAGAATCAGTTCAGCGTTGTGTCGACGCTTTGCATCGTTATCCGATGAATGATCGTTTGCTTACAGCAAAGGAAATTCGAGTAAATATTTTGTATTTTGTGACTCATGCACATTTCTTAGTTCATCTCACAGTTTTTCATCCTCCTCCTAAAATGTCTTAGTTTTTTTTTTTTTTTTTTTTTTGGTTGGATAACTGCCTCATTAGTTTGATATATACGCTACTACATCGGTAGTTCTAGCTGATAATTTAGCTATAAAAGGAAAGACGTGATGCATGTTTAGTCTTTTTAGTTTCTTTTCGATCTTCTCTGACTTTCTCCTTCCCTGAAAACATCATAGGATCAGTGAACATCATAGTTGGTATTTAACTGAGCTGTTTCTTCTTTTTCATTTGATCAGTAACCGATCAGTTTATCAAACTTCAAACTGCTGTCCCTTTTTTTTTTTCACTGATACATCGTTGAATCTGTTCTTAGGATGTGAGATAATAATCAGCAATTACCCTACACTTGAAATTTCCTGAGTCGATCGATTTATTATTTACTGCGCACTGTTCTACATATTGTTGACTCCATTGCTTATCTTTCAAATTTTTGAAATGAACCATGTTCAGGATCCTGTTGCATTTTTTCGAAAAGTTAAGGAAGACACAGGTGTTGATTTTTTAAACGGTCTTCATGGTGGAACTGCTGCAGCAAGTTTGGATACTCGTAGCCGTCAGGAGGAGCAGTTTGAAACGTATGGCCTTAGTCCGGCATTTCTGCGACAACTTCATATCACAGGACCATTGACAAATCGTGTTTTTGTGTCGAACGTTAGTTTCACGTGTTATTTGACAAGGCTTTCCATACACTGGCCTACAGCGTGCTTTGGATTTTCATCTTGCATCTCAGAGTTCAAATTTTCGAAGTCATATCTGACTTTGGTTTGTTTTTTAATATTTTCAACGAAAAATTCAAATTTAGCTCCCGTACAACGTACAGAGTGGACGAGTGACAGACTATTTCTCACTGGCCGGTAAAGTTACATGGGTTGATCTTCAATTAGACAAAGAAGGTCGCAGTAAGGGTATGGCTGTTGTACAATTCACTCATCCGATCGAAGCAGTGCAAGCTATTTCAATGCTGAACAATCAACGTGTTTTTGATCGCCAAATCAATGTCAAAATGGATAAATTTGATCCGATTGATGACCGGAAAGAGGGAGAGTTGCCTGTGGGTTTGCGTGGAGTTGGCATGGGTTTGGGCGCAAATGGTGCACCATTAGGCGATGTTTCTTCAATAATTTCGTCGCTCACCTCCTCGACAACATCTCATAATTCCTATGATAGCACATCAACATCGTTTACCAATCAGTCTGCCTATCAAAGTGGTCCTGTATCAGGCCTTCAGCCAAGTAGCATTTCTTCGGTTATGCCATTTTCATCTACATATACATCGTCATCTGCATCTCTCTCAGCTCCCAGCTCTGCTTATTCTACATTCGGTGGTGTCGGTGGTTTCAGTGGTTCGCGTTCGATAATTATCAAAAATGTGAGTTCTGCCTTTTGCTAGATTTCAGCAAAGGAATTGATGATTTGAATGGATGTTGTAATGTTCTCGGTAACTTCTGCATTTGGACTGATTTCCGACAAAGCATTGTGCTGGTATGAATCTTCTTCCGGTTCATTGAATTATGTTTGAAATATATCAAAAATCAGACTATCATCAGCAGTTCGTAGCACATCACAACCACTGCTTTCAGCTTCCTTTGGATTACACATGGCAGATTGTGCGTGACCGTGTTCAGCAGTTTGGTCCAGTAGATCTGACGGAAATGATTGCACCAGGGTGTGCTAAAGTTACTTTTGCTGTAGCTGCGGATGCGGAACGCGCCCGTAAATCTCTTCAAAATACCACCGTTGAAGGACGTGTTATTGGGGTCGAATTCCTGGCCTGAAGAAAGTGAAATTTTTACTTTCTTTGAATTATTAGCCGCATTTGCGATATTGTATCCCATCCGATCCATCTTCGTCTTTTGTTTAATACTTCTTAATCGCTTGAATTTTGAATTCTGAATCATGCGAGGAGCTTTACCACTTTTGGGGAATATTTTGGAGATGAAGGAAAAGTCTCGTTAAATAAATAAAATAGTATGCAAATGGTTTTTATTTTGAGAGGCGATAATACCGAATGTCTGTTTTATGATTCCATTTTTGTTCTGTCTCGTTATTTAATGCATTTTATCTTCGAGAGAGCATTTTAGATCGACTTCATACTAAGCATATTTATTTTTTAGATTCGTTTAAATCGGTTAATATTCATCTGAGTAGTTTATCAAGTTTATGATAAGGTCGTTTAGTTTTCTTCTCACATTCTCCAAAGACGATGTCGTTCATGGTCATATATTTTTTTGGACCTGAGTCATGTTTTGAAATAAATTTTCAATAAAGAGAATATTTTTGTTTGTTCTTAAGGAAGCTTGCGTTTTTACGTCTGAAATGAGGTGACTTCGATCATCACTCACCCGCGTCATTCGTAATTAATCAGTGTGTAATCCTTCTTTCTGATATGTTCAGTAAGTTTCATAGGGTTTTTCATGAGTTTTAAGGTTTTTTAGATTCAATTCTGAAGAGGATGCTGAAATATGAATAGAAAACTTTCAGTGACAATTTGGCTGAGTAATGTTGTCTGAGAGTCGTTTGTAGATACCGTCATCGATATTTGTTTTGTGGTGCATGTTGATGATAGGGTGAAATGTGATAGTGTAAAGGTTAGAATTATGATGTAATCAATATTAGTACATAAGGGGAATATTACGATTGAAGTATTCATGATTATTGTTGTGGAAGTGATAGCACCTACCTGGTTTGCATCATCATCTCAGTGGTATCATTTTACTCTTTTCAAGTGGCGGTTAAATTATCGTCGTTTGATTAAACACTAACAAGATGGTATTATGGGAAAATGTTTAAATTATTTCGTGATGGTATCGTACGACAAGATCCTTGCTTATCGTCAAATAATTATCGGTAATGGAGATACTTCAAGGAGATTCAACTATATTACTTTTTCTTGCGCAATCAACAACAAGTGTATAGATTGGTTGAAATTAACGGTAGTAGTCTTTCGAAATGTATATAACAGGTTATTAGTTTCTTTTATTTACATAGTCAAGTATACACAGTCATAGATATTAACAACAAAATGTTTCTATCATACTATCAATCAAAAAATCATAAAAAATCACGTTCAGATTTGTTATTTGACATGATCTGAAAGGTGTTTGGTTTTTCAATAAGTGAAATTTGTTTTAACAGTAATGTTAACTATAATACTTATCAAGCATTATAGTTAACATTATTCTTAAAGCAAATTGCTTATCAAGAAATCGCAATCTAATAAATAATTAAAGTTCAACAATCAGTAATGTTCATCTCATATATACCAAATCAATGGTCTAGATATTACCATGAGGTATGTTAACCAAGATATATCTAAGTAACGAATGATTGGCCGCTTAAAAATCTTGGGATACAATCATTCTTCCCAGATTAGAACTAAAAAGATCGTGATTTAAAATAAACTAGGTAAGGAAATATTATCGTTGATAAAACTCAATCCATTTTTTTTTAAACAGTTTCCTCCTTTTTTTCTTTTTTAAGAATTTGAATTTTTAAATAGTTCTTTTTCTCAACTTGAGATGTTAATAATTTGCTAAGGATGGAAATGATAATTAAATGTGGCAATCGGATTCATTCATCTTTCTAATTTTCATTCAATGTAAATTATTATACTGTCCCGTTTGCAAATGAAATACATATTTTTCTTTAATGCATGTAAGGAGCCTTTTTTTTTTTTTTAAGGTTTTGTTTTCTGTGGGACAAAAGGTGTTGTGTGTGTGTGTGTATGTGTATGTGTATGTTTGTGTGTGTGATTTGTTGAAATGAAATAAATATATGATTGAGATGTTCATAAACACACATCCATCATTACATACCAAAATGAATTTAGCTATGAACATCATTGTTGAGGTTTGTAAGTATGTGGAAATGCTTCAAGATAATTAAATCAAAATGTGGACCTTTTGATTGCTCGTTGACAAATAAAATAATAGGAAAGAAGGAAGAAAGAAAGAAAGAAAGAAGAAATGGTTGGATGGGATGGATAAATTGTATTTTCGAGTAATTGTTGAAGTTAACAAACGATAATATGAAAGGAAAAACGTGAAGCTTAAAGGCAAAAATAAACGAAATTACGCTTACAACAAGTGCTATTTCCTTTCTAATTTTCATTGGAAATGATTTTCTTTTTTCTTTTCTGAAACGAAGAAATTTCGTTCACTTCATTTGCTAGTTTCTTTCTTTCTTTCTTTCTTTCTTTTCTTTTTTTTTTTCTTTTTTTTTT